TTTTCTGCCCCTCCAAGGGGTGGAAAGCGGTGTGAGGTGAGGACCGAGGGGCTCGGTGAGCAACCAATCAGATGAGAGTTTTCTCACAAGATATATGAAGCTATTCCGAGTATAATGACTAAGTCGTTTCTGTACAGGCCATTATGGTCCATAGTTTTCCGGTCTATCACTTCCTTCTTACCCAAGATACATTCTAGAAATTTACTATCCAGTAATACCTTCTTCCATCTAATGTGTCTACGAGCTTGATTCCTACTAAGGGTTACTAGGGTGTGAACAGGGGCAAGAAACCGTCCTTTTGATTAATCTCTTTTGACACACCGATTCAAGATCTAAAGTCTCTTTTTTCTTTATTGATTTATCCTTCTCTCCCAGGTCCGGTTTCTCTCCTAGCTTATTCCAGAAAGATATATACATTTACTTGCAACTCATCTAGTCACACTCCGCTCTATGCTTTTTCCAATCTCGCTTCTGACACTCCCCGGAGCAATATTTCACCCTTTGACAACGTGAACATTTCTTTAACGTAACTCCCGCCTGGTCCTCTGGTTTTCCGCAGCTTCGGCATCTTTCTACCCGAGTCACTGGGCTCCGCATCTTGGGAACGTCGGCAGGATCAACGACTTCTTCGTTGAACGGAATTGCATAGGTCGGGCTGATTGCAATACGGACTGCATTTGGCGCTGCGTTTTCCCACTCAGGGAGAGACACGAAGTTGTCTGGTAGAATTCCGTTACCACACGAGCACAGAACCTGCTCACCATCTTTGAGACTTAGTGGAATAGTCGCCCCCTTTCTCTTATACTCGCAACTTTTGCCGTGAGACCAGGTACGGCACCTCTCAACCATTGATGGGAGAGCCTTCTTCCAAAGGCATAATTCTGCATCATCGACATCTATACTGCCACATTCAAGTTCACGGAGAATCAGAAGGAAGGATTCCATACGACCCGATGTAACAAGATCCATGGTGAACGGGATAATAGCTGCATCAATAACAACAGATGCGGCATCACCATCAATCCGTATGGCGGAGACGAAAACAAGCATGTGAATACCACCTCGCTTCGGGTGGTTGATTGCAAACAAACCGGTCTGGCCAGCCTGTAAGCCGGTGGCGATCATAAACATGGTGAACACAGATTCCTTGAAGTTGACCATCGGGTCATGAGAGATTCCGCTTTCGCCGCGCACAGTACGTAGATATTTCTCTCGGGCTGAAAACTGCATTGATGTCAATGTTGTCATCCATCGGTTTCGGTCCTTGTTTTCCAAATCAATGACCGGGAGGTTATTGAGATTCAGGTGCGGCATGTTGAGAGAAGCCGGAACACCAGACGAAGAGATTGCTGAAGGGTATGCAAAATCCAGCAGTATAGGAGAAGAACCAGGTTGCGCCAGTGGCACTATCAATTCGATGTAGCCTGTCGTTCTAGCAACTCGAGATTTCATTCCATCCGTGGTGACAGGCACCGGAAAGTTTAGAGGGCAAACAAGATCATGCTTGCCGAAAACAATATCGATGACGAAGGGGCTCTTCTGACGAAAGTCGATCGGGATCTTATCCTTGAGGAATTTCTTGGCTCTCTTCGAAGTAATGTCCAAGTGCCCCGTAAGGGTAGAGATGACAGACTCAGAGGGTGATATCTCGAGCAGAATCTTAGTGGTCTTGTCATCCTGGCCCTGGTTGACCACGTTCTCGAGAGACTTAACAGCACTACATACAGCAGGATAACCATCGTGCCCGGGTAAATGCTTTGTCACGAATACGCTCGCCTTGTTATCAGTGCGCGTTTCGAAGACGGTCATGGTCAATCCCAGAATGGGTCCATAAATCAAGGAGTTCTGCCCCGTGGGTGGAACACAAAGTCCAACCAATGCTGAGTTGGGCTCGTTCTGTAGGGTCGAAGTGGGCACATAGAAAGATGCTATGAGAGGAGAGTCTCCGGCCCATCCATCCCGATCTCTTTCAACAACCACTTCAAACTCGTCCTCGTCAGACATCTTGTTGGTTTTAACATTACCAAAGGAAATTTGGATATCTCCAAATATATTCTGCCATCCCTCGGTGGCGTTATGACTAGATCTCACCGACCCGACAAGTGGCGGTGATGCAAGCCCAAGAGGGTTATTCTGATGTTTATACAATCGAGCAATGGCCAGTCTGGGTACAACTACCGTGACAGCGACTGCTGGTGGCAGGGATTTCCAGCGATTATAGGCTCCATTTTGGGGAAGGCTTCTGCTCTCCTGAATAATCCATGGTTCGGTGTTGACACCAAGAAGGTGAAGCTGAATGCACAGGTCTTGCATGCCATTGCTAGCCAGCAAAAAGCGATGGTCTTGAGCAATGGAGTCAATGAGAGCTGAGCACATGGATGGCCAGTCTGTTGCAACCCGGGCCATGACAATCTTGAGCATGGTAGCAAAGCTTGTACGAATAAAGTGACCATAAGTGTTTGACCTCTGTCCCACACTTGACTTCGATATGTTCTCAGCTTCAAACATGTAGTCATAGAGTGGTGAAAGTAATTTGATGAGCTGCTTTGAGTCTATATGCAGCTTTCCGTGGCGAGCCTGACCTGAGAATTGGTTGTCTCGCTTCCAAGCCAGTCGGTTTCGGGTTTGCGTTTCTCCTTTTGCTTCATTCATGAGTCCAATGAAAATCTCGTCAACATGGGACTCAACCTTGGCATTAGTCCAGTACTGGACAGGACTGAGGCCAAGTAGAAGTGAGATGGTCGGTGCATGTCCAGAGAGAATCTTGTCTAGAGCATTCTTCTGATCACCCTCGGGTCTGATGAGCAATTCTGTGAAAAGGGACGCCCACGGCTCGTCTTTGAGAAGAGGCCCTGCTGCGAAGATAATGTTGAGGGCTCCGATGTGGTCACAAAGGTTTGAGGTATCGATCATATCGAACACCGATGGTCCTGAACCACCCTTTCCATATTCCTTCGGATCCAAAACCAACGGTCGTGGGTCCCAGGTTCGCCGGTATAGGTTGGCTGGCTTCCCTGTTGTATACGCCGCCTGTAAACTGTGACAGAGCGTCAAGGCATCCGCAACGGCGAAGCGAATGACAATATTGCTCTTCAGCGACTTGAAAGCAGAGATCCATTCATTGAACTGGGTCTTCGCAGCAGCTGAGGCTACAAATTCTTTTCCTCTGATCTTGGGCTCAAGTGGAGAGCCTTCGAGAAGAGCAGCATAGGCCGTGGCAAGATGAAAGCCAAGGACTGGATCACTGGCGTAGTGCAGAATGTCGTTCTGGGAGAGAAGGCTTGCAAGGAGCGGGTTTGGCAGCTTATCTTTGGCTTGGCGAGGTGTGACTGTACCATTTTTCCAATATTGAGCGGATACATCCCCGATTTTTGCTCCTGCTTGTATGGAGAGTGGCGCTGCGGAACGCATAGCTGTCAAATTGATGTGCCCTGAACCAAGCTTTTGATCGTGTATGTCCTTAGATGGTTGGATGTTCTGCTGAAATGTCTCCATGTAGCTATCGGATTGACACTTGGAAGCCGCAGCTTTAATTGACATCCAAACACGACGCACATCTGATAGAGTATCAGCATCGCAGAATCGGATGGATTTTCCCCATGAACTGCTGTTCCATTCATCAAGAGATTTGGAAACGTTCAGCAGCTTAGTGGCAGTAGCTGACACAATCTTGGCAGTCTCTTCGTCCACAAAAAGATGGTAGTAGACATTCCAAAGCTGCTCATCACTCAGCTTGCAGTCCTCATCAAGCAGGAATATCAAAAAGAAAGCATTGCGAGCTATTCTGGTCAACATATTGTGGTGCTGTGATGCAGGGTAAGTAACCTACCAAGAATCTTTTCGACGACATCGCAGCAAGTGAAGTCAATTTTTCTCTGGGCTGATCCGTTTAGTTTCAAATTATTAGAAAAAGGTTGACATGTACTCACGCAAGCCTTTCTCTAGGTATGTTGTGTAAAGAATATTGCGCACATCACCGCAGCCAAGCGACAGCACAGATACGTCTTGGCCTTGTGGTACTGATCTGGTCAGACTGGTCGCTGGCGTGTTCCCAGCAGCGTAAAGAAAGCTAGTCTTTACGGCAATAGTTGGCGTAAGCATGGCCGACCAATAGTGAGAGGAAAGTCTCACGGCGTATGGCAGATAGGAAATACGGGAGTAATATTGAATCTGAGGAATAAATAAGGTGCTGGGAGAGGTTTTGCAAGTATAAGGAAGCTCGGACTAATAAGGCAGAATATATGTGGCTGCGTCTCGTGAGTGGAGCCAGTGAGTGAGACGCTGAAAGATCTACCAAAATGACAGGACCAGAGTAAAATAGAGTGAGAATGATACGTATGAGACAGGAAAACAAATTTAATGTAGTTCCAACTGGTCTGAGACGATTAATGGACATCACGGACAATCAACAGCCTCAACTCAAATTAATTTGGTGGTCAAGAAATCTGGAAACTCTCACACCAGTATTGACCATCCATCAACTTGCGAACATCGATTCAAATTAGACCATTTCACACTTAATCAAGGCACAGAGGTTAATCGTCAATGAATATTCCATTGGTGAAGTCCATATATCCCTCCCAAAAAGCAAAAGCCTCAACCTCAAAACTCCAAGCAGCCCAAGGGGGTGTTCGACACCCAACCGTGTTGAGACCTTTGCTTTCTATCAATTTCCCCCTAAAAAATCACAAGAATCCCATTCCGGTTCGCCAGTTCCTGCCCTAGTAGTCCATTGTTGATGGTGATGAAAACCCCGTTGAAATACCCAAGCCCTTTTTTACTTTCTTCTCCCCTATCCCTAGTGTACATGACCGCGAGCGTGCATTACGTAGAAGCGTGAGCGTGAGCGTCGTAAAAAAATGTGTCGCTTCTTCTGGAAACGATTGACCTCAATTGGTGTAATCCAAAAAAAAAAAAAAAGTGCATGGCTGATTAAGTACTGTTCCATGGCTTGCGCAAGACAAAGACAAAACAAGCAAACAATGCTGGGCGCAAACTAACTAGTTGCTGCCAAAGAAGACGTCGTCATTGTTGTTGGTGAACATGCCGACGTTGTCGAAATCATCGTCAAACTTGCTCATGAGCATGTTGGAGTCGCGATCCAGTTGGATAAGATCGTCGTCGTTGGCAAATTGATACAGCATTTCATCGTCTGCGTTGCTTAGGCCAAGGGGAATAGAAGCAGCCATGGTTGCCGAGGTAACGAAAGTTGTTGTCCCGGGAATCAGGGTCAGATCGTCGTTGTTGATTGAAGTGTTGGGATCGACGTCGAAGAAGTGAGCGGCTGGGGGAGAGGATGATTGCGAGAGCTCAGGTGGTGTGTTGTACTGGCTTGCGATGCTCTTGGAAGGAGATGCAGCGTGCATAGGAGTGCCCTCCATGATGGCCTCCGGCGAGATGTATGAGTGTACACTGCCAGTGGAGGGGGAGGAGGCATACTCCTGAAGAGCGGCGGCTGTGATGCCAGTCATGGGTGCTGAAGAGACGGCAGCGAGGGCCTGGTTCTGCGAACTCATTCCAATATCCATCATTTCATCAAGCATAAACTGTTCTGGTGAGTTGACAGCTGAGCTGTCAGAACAAGCAGAGAATGATGACATTGAGCTGACAGACATGTTCTTCTTGCGGGTTCGCGCCGACTTCTCCATGCGAGTCTCGATATCAGGGCGGCTCTTCTTGGGCGGTCTGCCTCGCTTGACAACCTTGCGCACGACGTTGTCAAATGCACCAATGCACATGCCTCGTTGGCGGTGTCGAGTAAGAGCATCGTGGCGAGCAAAGCTGTTGCCACATTCGCAAGGGTAGGGCTTGATACCAGTATGGATCTTGGCGTGTCGCTTGAGATCGTGCTGTCGAACAAAGCACTTCTTGCAAGTGGGACACTGGTATTGTCGGTCATTGAGATGAGTCTGAACATGTGACTTGATGTTCTCCTTGCGGCCGAACTTCTTGCCACAATCTTCATAAGTACATGTCCACTTGCCGTCGCTGGCGTCTGGGCCACTGATGAATTGGGCGATCTCATCCTGAGTGACTCCGGTCTCTGTCTTGGTCTCCTCGATGTTGATGCTGGCGATGCTGGCAGCACTTGCGATGCTAGCAACTGACTCAGTGCGGCGATGGGGAGAGTGGCGACGAGAAGGTGTCTGAGAGGGAGTTCCAGAGACAGATTGAGGACCCATGGGATAGGATTGGAGTTCAGGCTTGTTATCAAAAGAGCCCAGGTACTGTGTCATTTGAGGAGTGTTGGGAGTGGCTTGTTGTGGTAGTTGATGGTTGAGACCGTGGATGTCATCCCGGCCAAAGTCGCTCTCGATCTTCATGAACTCGTTGTTGAAGCTGTTCATGTTCATGTAGTCAGGTGTCGACATTGGCAGTCCATTGAAGGATGAGTCGGGAAGAGTATTTGACCGAGCTGGGCTAGACATGACTTGCTCAGAATGTTGTCTGATGTCTTGGAAGATGGTCTGGGCCCTTCGGTTTCCTCCACGGTTCCTCACGGGCTTGATCGTCTCTTCCAAAGACTCATCATAGCCATCAGCGAACCGACTTGACATGCTCTCATCCTTGACCAATCGGTCATGGGGAGTCTCAATCGGCGTAGGGGGGAAGTAACCTTGCTCAAGGTTAGCCGCCTCAGGCATAGTCATTGTCCAGCTGAGCGACTGACTTTGTGTGTTCTGGTTCTGGCTCTGATTCTGACCTTGGTTCTGGTTAGGAGGCGTAGCGGGTCTTGTCGTTGAGTCCAAGGTCTCAAACTTGTTAACGCGGTCCATAATGCCACCACTTATCCTTCTTGAGGTTCTCCTTGTACTGGAGGTGTCACCTTCAGAGGACCAACCCTGAGCGGAGGAACCCTCAGAAGGAAAGTCGATGAACGTTGGAGTAGAAAGTGCACTGTCATTGTTAAAGATATCAAATTCCTTACCTCCCGACATATTGTCACCGTATGCAGCCTGTTGGCCCTTGCCCAGCATCACGTTAAGATCAGTAGTGTAAGGGTCAAAGGGGAGTGAGTTGGGGTCAAAGCAGGACGGGTCGAATCGTTGTGTCTGAGGAGTTCCATGAGGGGACATGAGATAGTTCTCACTTCCACTTGGGGCCAGGTTGGCGTAAGGGTTCTGTGTGCCCGGGCGTGCTTGAATGCGTTGCTGCTGCGCTTCTCGCAGAACTTGCTGCGTAGAAATATTGGCTAATCCTGTATTGTTAGTATTCGTACTTACCATGTAGTTCTGCCTTGTTGCTGCTGAGTTGATGTTCTGGTTCTGTTGTTGTCGTCGAACATCCAGGCTGAGGCCGCGTCGGTGGGCGGTTTGTCGTTGTGTAGTTGGCAGATTAGGGATCTTGGCGCCCTCAAAAGCAGACGGTGTCGAGTTTTGACGCCGGTGCTGCTTTTGCCGGGCGTGAAGTCCTGTTGGATTGGACAGCATAATGTCGCAAGGGGAGTCCGGAAGGGAATTGTCGTCGGTCGATATATTGTCGATGGGAACCTATAGGTCCGAAACTGTTTGATATGTCAGTCAACTTCTCGAATCCTTCACTGAACTTCATCTTCTTTACCTCACGCAGCGCAAGCACAGAGCGCCGGGCTAGTGGAAAGTTGTTGTCGTTCTCAGTCGAGGTCGACTTTGCGATATAAGTTCAAGTGTGGTTATGCCTGTAAGGCAATGATACTGGTTTGTGGAAGTGCTCTTTTTTGTGTGTTTGAGCTCTCCCGAGAGATGAGATAGATGCAATTGATGTACAAGCTCTGATTGATCTTGTTCTGTGTGTATGTATGTATGGATAGATGTGAGAATGGAGTAGCTTTGGTGCTAGATGCAACAAGAGCAGCAGTGTGGATAACTTGGATCTTTGGGGTTGATAGTGAGATCGAGCTAAAAGTAAACAATCACCAGGGGCAACCAGAATCAAACCACTAAATCCAGCTTCACCCATGCTCAGCCGGTTACCCTGGCACACCTTGGCGGCTAGAGCTACTAAAAGAGTGTCCCAGCCAACTTCTGAGACGTGACCTGGCGACCGATGGTTCATTACACCATAGAACCATGTTTATTCGCGGGACACATCCCACTTCCTCATCATGATAAGATTCTAGCCGAGAATTGACCACTGACAGCACCAAAAGTGATCTCATCATCTTTATGACTTGACAACTCGCATTCTCACGAGCCAACTCCCATAATAAACATTGATAACTAACTACCTAGGTACTTTGCAGTTCAAAAGCCACAGCCACAGGACGCAGCTCAAGCAATTCGAGTTGCCGCATGGGAATAGCATCATTGCCTTATTCCCTGTTGCTACCATAACAACCTAGGATTCCAGCACATGTCTCGGTCAATGGCAGCTGTAAACCACAACCCCCTGCAGCTGACGCAGATGACGTCTCGTTTCAGGATCAACACGATCAACAAAAAAGTGAGGTTGTCTCAAACAACCTGGAAATGAGAGAGCCTAGGTCATCGTCCATACCAAGTCTACAAGTGCCTCTGCGCCATTGGACATACAAACGCTCAAAGGCCTCCAGCTTGTAACTGCATTCCAGCCAAACAATAGATAGCAATATCCTGTGTCACCATCACCTTGAACTGAACTCATCGAAGGCGACGTTGCCTAGGTTCCCCAGTCCATGACTGTATATTCAGCTATTAAGTTCCCTCGCTTCCGACGGGAGGCGTTCTTCAGCACAAGGCATTCATTGCCTTGGAATCTCACCATTCCTTGTCATTGACCGAGATCCGGTGACTCTTTAATGCAATACGATCTAGAAGCCTCACCGCCAATGGATTAATCCATGGTCTATCCAAAGGCAGTCTTTGGTTCTTTTTTTATTTGAGACAAACTCTGCGTCTTGTCGAAATTTGCAGTCGCTTCTTCGTCCAGTCGTCATCGTAAACAAAGCTCTCCCGCTGAAGAGGCAAACACCGTTGAAACTTAAACTTTGTCATGTTCGGCGTTTACGGGACATTTAATCGGCACTTTTGCTCCAAAGATGGTGTTTTTTCCCAACACCATATGCATCGGCCTACAACCGGGAGACCAAACAACAAAGCAGTCTCATTCTACATGAACAAACTGGGCGTCAGTAGCCATGCTAATGTTGACACTGTTCATAAAAAAAGTCCCCAGGAAACTACCATCGTGTGAATGAATGATGCATCTTGATCCAAACTATAGACCCTTGCTTCTGTTTTTCACTACGGCTTTGAACACAGTAATGAAGCGTAGTGGTTTGTATGTGTATAAGGTATGGTGAGTAAATGTAGATGGTAATTCCCAGAGGTCGGGATCGAAAACATTCGGCAACTGGTGGCCGCTTTTCCCACGAATACAGATTCAAGAATGAAGATTATGAGATATAAGCTCATTAACAAGAGTTCCTCACTCGACCCGAGCCTGTCTACCTATGTTAAGGTCGTGGGTTGCCGTGATAGTCGGCCCCACAGGGGCCGGCACCGTTTATCACCACTTCCGCCAGCGGATACCAACCGGCGCCGACTCATACAATCGTTGGTGAGCACGCGCTCAACCCAACGAAGGAAACAAGGTATTGGCGCGCCGAGATCTTCGTACATCTATCGACGTAGACGACCATAGAAAGATAAATATTACATCAAGTCTCCTAGGTAGTTCATGGGATTACACCATTATCCAATACGAGAACCTCCAGATATGTATCAAATTCAAGTTATTGAATAATGCATTTAACACTGCAATGGACGCAATCGATGATACTGACGATAATTTCCAACTTTTCGTAGCTGGCCGTTTCAGCTGTAGCAGGTTGAAAAGTGAAGGCCAAGAGCACAATATTCTGACTCTTACAAATAGAGCACTACCTTAGGAGGTACTAGGTACCATGCTATTTGCCCTGAATCCAAGATTGCACCTTCCTTAACAAAAGCGTAATGTACCTAGGTAGGCAGGTACGATGTTAATGTTGAGAATCACTCCTGACAAAACTGGGCAAGTGTGTGTGCATTTGCAAACTTGGGCAGGAGCGAGCAGGCACTTTAGCAGTCGGCAGTTGGCAATTGCTGCCAGTGCAAGATTAGACACCTGCACTCCAAGTCACTTCATTTAAAACCTCTTCTCTCTGACCTTTCTCATCTTCTTTCTTCTAAAGTCAGGTTAAACATTCTCTTCTCCCATCTTCTGCTTGATTGAACCAAGCACAGCCACTCCTTCACACAACCATGGCCGCAGACTCACTGACAACCGCCAAGAACTCCGGCGTCATTGTGTTCGACAAATGCGAAACTATAGAGCGCCAGCGTGACAGCATCTATGAGACTTCATTTCTCCAACGCCTCAAAAGCCCTTTCGTCGTGCAAACTGTTCCCTATACTGGATATCTACGCGCACTGCAGCTGTATGGCAACGAGGATGCTTTCGATCTCACCCAAGACGAACGTGAGAACCTCATGAACTGCAAGAATCTGGAATTCTGTCGATCCCTGGCTCGGGCCCAAGGTTACAATCCAGAGTCTGGTAACACTGCGCCCTGGGCGGGCGTATACTTCCCGCTCAAGTTCATTCAGACATACCCCGGCCCCCGCATGGTCGTCCTTGAACCAGACGTTGAGGAACAGACTCTCCCCAGTGAGCAAACAGTTTCCAGCACGGACACGGAGGACCAGTCAACTTCCTCGACTGCCGAGATCCCCCAAGAGATCGGAATGGCTGAAGAAACATCCCTCGTTCCGTTCTCAACTCTTCAACTGTATGACTCCTCCAAACCAGCGACTCTCCGAGGCATGAGTGGTAGCCGCGTGCCCACTGAAGATGATTTCGGCAACAGCTGTGTTGGCAGCATGGAAATGGCTGTCGTCGTGACAGAATTACTGGAGGGTGCTGTGAAAGGAAACTTCGATCTTGAGTGGAAGAGAGCAATCGAGGACACACTCGACTACATTGGAGGCTCGGAGAACATGGCCGCTTTCCTTGAAATGATGTACAAAAAATTCCCCAAGAAGAAAGACAATTCAGTGGCGTCGATTATTGGCCGTCGACTCCGCGGCTCGGAGTGAAGGAACCGAAGTTGGGAAGGATGCTTGAGATGTGGGACTACGATACTATGGTCGGATACCTGCCGTCAGCGAAGGATGGGTTTTGATATGTAGGGTCTCTGGGATCTGCCCAAGAGAAGAGGAAACAAGTTGCTTGTACGGAAACGGAATGTTCATGTGGTCTTAATATGTCCAATAAGGCTCCTGGTTCGTCGGTGAGCATGGAATAAAAATCGACACATAATATATTGCACGGGCCCATGATTTGCTGGCGGGATGTAATGGATCCTTCTGACGAACTATATGTACTATGTATGTAAGTCAGATACGATCAGATGTGGGTCATTACTGGAAAGAGCATGCATATAGAGTATTATTTCACTTGAAATAATTGTTATTGCTTTCCTTTTCGGTCTGGCCCTCGGTCATGTATGTCTAAGAGTTTCGTTTTATTTATCAGAGATGTTGTCGGATTGAGTCGGTGAAACGGTTTCAATCAACACCTGATTGGATAATAAGGGCTCCTGAGTCAACAACCACTAAGAGTTACCACAACAACCCTGGAAGCACAGGGGCCAGGCCCAAGAGGCGGGCGGGAGGTACCAACATCCTGGGAGCTTGGAGAGTCACTCACCTCGAACAAAATCACCCGATTTCCTCCAGCCTGCAGAATATCTCGCCCACTGCTATTGGCTGGTCCTTGATTTTCCCAGGTTTCCTCCATCTGGGGCATAGACTCACCTTTTTCTATTGCATTTCCCTTGCCGCCGACCCTCTTTTGCATACAGCGAAACAGATAACGCCAGCAATCGTACGTATTCTGCCTTTGGCTGTGACGACAAGCCGGACCGACTCCTCGTCTCGTCTTCGTTCCATCTACCGCTATCATGTCGGGAAACACTTATAGAGGAACGCCCACTCGCAACCAGGGCCGTGGCGCGGTTCCTTTCACCAACAGTCCCAGTGGTGGTTCAAGCATCCCTCGTCCGGTCCTCGAGCCCTCACCGTCTACTGAGACTGGATCTGCGGTCAGCGCGAGTCGTCAGAAGCAGAGCAAGCGTGATGAGGTTCGTCATGATATACCCTTACGATTGGCCTCGACTGCGATATATCCCTCGAAAGGCTTCGAATTCCAATATACCAGGTTACTAACCTCCAACATAGGCCATCCGAAAGAAGCTCGAAAATGACCTCTCCAAGAAGAAGCACCTTACCAGCCGGGCTCGCCATTCACGAAAGGCTCCTCCCGGGACTGTCCTCGCATTGAAGCCCAGTCAGGCCCTACAGATCAAGCCTGGCACCACCGTCTCCGAGGCTGCTCAGCTGATGGCCGCAAAACGCGAGGATTGTGTTCTGGTAACTGACGATGACGATCGCATTGCTGGTATTTTCACCGCAAAGGATCTTGCGTTCCGAGTTGTGGGAGCTGGAGCAAAAGCTTCCGCGATCACTATCGCTGAGATTATGACCAAGAACCCTCTTTGTGCTCGAACCGATACCAGTGCTACCGATGCCTTGGATCTTATGGTCCGTAAGGGTTTCCGACATCTGCCAGTTATGGACGAAAACCAGGATATTTCGGGTGTGTTGGATATTACCAAGTGCTTCTACGATGCCATGGAGAAGCTAGAGCGTGCCTACTCGTCCTCTAGAAAGCTCTACGATGCGCTTGAGGGCGTTCAGTCTGAACTGGGCTCGACTCAACCCCAGCAGATCATCCAATATGTCGAAGCTCTGCGCAGCAAAATGTCTGGGCCAACTTTGGAGACCGTGCTCAACGGTGTGCCCCCCACCACCGTGAGCGTGCGAACCTCGGTCAAGGAAGCTGCTCAGCTTATGAAGGAGAACCGTACAACCGCTGTCCTTGTTCAGGATCAAGGAGCTATTACGGGTATTTTCACCAGCAAGGATGTCGTTCTTCGAGTTATTGCACCTGGTCTTGACCCCGCCAACTGCAGTGTTGTGCGTGTCATGACCCCTCACCCCGACTTTGCACCCATGGACATGACCCTCCAGGCGGCTCTCCGCAAGATGCACGGTGAGTTGTTAAGAAAAATTTAGTAAGATGCCGCTAATATGTTTTCAGATGGTCACTACCTGAACCTCCCTGTCATGAATGATGGCGGTGAGATCGTGGGCATGGTCGACGTTCTCAAGCTAACATATGCCACACTTGACCAAATCAACGCCATGTCAAACACCAATGATGAGGGTCCCGCGTGGAACAAGTTCTGGCTGTCGCTCGATGCTGAGACAGAGTCCATGATGTCTGGAGAGGGTAGTGCAGCACACCACACCAATCTGGGATCTCGCCTGACCTCGCCTGATATGCACCGAGGTATCAACGATAGCCTCGCTCCTGGCGACTCGGCATCTCATGTTGGCATGGAGTCACCTCCACGTTCTGTTCTTCCCGATGTTCTTGAACATCAATTACCAGAAGAGCTCCCGTTCCCCTTCAAATTCAAGGCTCCGTCTGGCCGTGTGCACCGTCTCAAGGTTACTGCGACAGAAGGCATCGAAGTTTTCGTCAACGCTGTTGCCTCCAAGCTTGGTGCTGAGGCAGAAAGCATTGGTGGTGTGCCTCCTGTGTCTGACGGCAAGATTGTCGGTCCAGGTTTTGCAATGAGCTTTTTGGATGATGAGGGAGACTCTATCTCTATCACAGCCGACCATGACCTTCTCGAGGCTGTCATTCTGGCCCGCCAAGCTCACCATGATAAGGTCGATCTATTTGTCCATGATCCTGAGAAGCCACCTGCATCTGGAGCTCCTGCTACACCATCAGTCTCAACCGGGGCCGGTCTACGAGAGCGGCGCAAGTGGTGGCCCGAAGAGGACGAGGATGATTCAGAAGATGAGGATGATGAACCCGTACGGAGACGAAAGGGCCGTGCGGCACATACGCACGCACAAGGCCCTGAGCAGCTTATTGCTGGTGTACCGAACGAGCTCATACTTCCTGGCGCAATTGTCACATTGGCCGTCACTATCATTGGTGTCTTTACCATCGCCAGACTCACCAGTCGGTAAAGGAGGCATCTGCTGTTCGTAATGACATGATGAAGATGGAGGTGGGGATATTTAGTGTAGATATTCAGAGAGAGAAAGTAGTTTTTATAGTAGAGATTACCCTTGCAAGACTAATTCAATGCCAATAAATTTTCTTTGTCAGTAAAATATGTCTCATTGCCTGTTTCAGGATTGTTCGTTCGTTTGGAAAGTTGTGATGGATTGTTGCTGGAGGATATTAGTCGGCCCGGAAAATCCCTCCACCCGATTCATGGCCATAGCCAAATTTTGGTACAGTCGAACGACTACCACGATAACCGAGCAGTCTCCAAGTTGTCGCCATGATCCTGAGGAACGCCCCCGTGCGGCATTGTGAGTCAATTGAGCTCTAACTCATGCAAATGCCCAACTGACATGTCCAGGCCGCCACACATTGGCGTCTCCCATCTCTAGGTCCCTCGCCCGGCAAATGTCCACTCAGGTCACCACAAAGACTGAGACTACATCCGAAGAGTGGAAGACAACCCAGGCCGCTGTTGCGCCCCCGAAGATTGTATCAGCGGCACGAAAGAAGCAGCGGATTGTACAAGACGGTATTCTTTCTCTCAGGACCAACTCGGCGCACGAGCACAGGGGCGCTGCTTGGACTACACCTCACTCCAACTCGAACTCGGCGGTACCTGCGACTCCTGCTCAGCAGTATAAAGAATGGCAAAGAATTCAGGCCAACACACGAAGTCTCGGTTCAAAACTGGAGAAGCGCTATATTCCCACCGAGCTTGTCAACAACCCACCTGGACCTGAGGATATCACTCTAGAGATGTTGATGGCTTCACAAACACATATTGGACACAAAACCTCGCTCTGGAACCCCGCGAACTCTCGGTACATCTACGGAGTGCGACAGGGTGTTCACATTATCTCTCTGGAAACGACTGCAGCACACCTGCGACGTGCGGCGCGTGTGGTGGAGGAGGTAGCGTACAAGGCTGGCCTCATTCTCTTCGTAGGAAACCGAAAGGGTCAGATGGAGATTGTCACCCAGGCTGCTGAGATGGCTGGTGCTTGTCATTTGTTCACCAAGTGGACCCCTGGAGCCATCACCAATCGAGATGTTATTCTGAAGTTGGCCGGAACAAAAGTTGTGGACCACAAGGACCAGGAACTCCCCGGTTTTGAGGCCTACAGAGGTTCGGCTCGACCGCTGATGCCTGATCTGGTTGTTTGCTTAAACCCCCTTGAGAACTATACTCTTCTATATGAGTGCGGTCTTAAGAGCATTCCTACGATTGGCGTTATTGATACCAACGTAGACCCATCATGGGTGACATATACCATTCCTGCGAACGATGACAGGTAAGAACTTCCACCAACTTTACGCATTTCTGTTGCTGATGCATGGGTAGTCTGCGAGCGATGGCTGTTGTTGGCGGTGTCCTAGGTCGAGCTGGCCAAAGAGGCCAACAGCGACGTATGGCAGATGCTAAGAAGAATAACATGGCGACATGGGAAAATTCTCCTGATATCGTACAGCACATGAACCGCGAAAAGAAGGCCGCTATTGCTGAACGCAAGAATGTAATGGGGCAGATGCAACACAACCTCGAGGGATTCAATGAGGAGGAACAGAAGATCTTACGAGAGGGTCTCTACGGAGACGAGCTTGAGGTTACTGAGAGCGAGATGGTGGACATGATGGGACAGGCTGCCCTGGGAGCTGCAAAGGAGGCTGCCGCTGAAGCGCTTTCTTCATTGCCTGAGGAACCCGCTAGCTCCGGCCCCGAGTCTTCTATGCAGGCTGCTGTTTCTGAAGTTGTGGTTGAGGCTCAGGCTGAGTCCAACACCTCATCGCCAGAACAGCCTATCACCTCCGAAGCAGCCACTTTAGCTCCCGAGCAACCCGCTGCACCAGAGGTAGTAGCCGACGTTCAGTCTGATGTTAGCCCTACCAAACCAGCACAGGATTCTAGGCTAGCGAGCATTGAGGATCAGTTGTCTGGACTGAAGAGTGCGGCGGAGGCGATCGAGGCCGATATCAAGAGCGGCAAGCAGTAGAAAAGCTTTGTACAGTATTGAAATGTATAATAGCCTACGGGAAGGATAGAGTATGAAAGCGGTGTAAGCTGGAATGAATATATAAAAATGTATTGTTATGTATCAAGTTTAAGGCATCAACCTGCTCTCATTTGCATCATAATATCGAGGCCGATCACGGCGATAACTACGGATAAACAATTGACCCTGGCTTGTTTTAAGGTTTAACATGACCTTGGATTCTCAGTGGCTTTTTTTCTCCAGGTGCATGCCCCGCCTCCATGAAATTTTTGGGGCCTGCGCATTTCCCCTCATCACCAACGAACATTTCAGCACAGTCACAACGAACATCACATCACAGCACTGCAAAAAAAATACAAGCATTACGCACGCTGCGCTGCACCTCATTACAGAGCGGAGCACTGGATATACCGGGGCTATAACTGAGCCCTACAGCGTCTTCAGTCGCTTTTTATTAGGTAGTTCCCTGTGAGGGTCCCCGGACTGTCCAAGGCGCGCCCTTTTCAGTCAAGGATCCAGGCCACCACCCACCCACCAGTGCATTGAAACGCCAGCCAGGCAGTTTTTACAGGCCACAGCACACCTACAGTAGTGGATTTCAGTACGGTCCGCCTGAAACTCGAGAGATCTTGATAGAGATTTCGGTGCGAAATCGGGATTTGAGAGAGCACTCCACAACATAGGAGCCTCCCATAATAGTTTAGCTTTTGAGCCGAGCTGTTCTTATTAAACTGTCTCGGCCTTTCCTGACACTTGAATTGGTATGCACCACTTTATACTTTTTCTCTCATTCTGCACTTTTCAGTCTTGAGGGTGTTTGTTTGGTGTAAGACGGCATCACCCTGAGATTACGAAGATAGATTCGTAAGTGACAAGAATTACAAGGCTAACAATCTGGTTAATAGGGATAAAAGCTTGTCCTCCAATTAAATCATTCTTCTGCTTCCTCTTTCTTCTACCTACACGTTAAACCCCGCATAAGGGTTTCATCCAACAAAATGCCGGCCATGCTGGATGATCCGGCAAGCCCCACTATCTACCGCGTCTCCGGCCAGCCTCCGTACCCGGATCCGAACAATCCCGGGCTTCCGGCCGAGATGACCCCTAGACAGGTCACGCTCCGTGATCGCCAGACTGTGGCCACTATTGTTCCGTTTTCCTCGAAACATCAGGTTCCCGAGTCGCTGATCGCCTACTTATGTGACCAGATCAACAAGGAAATTGAAGGCGGCGATACGTATCCCATGATGGATCCCTTCGCCGCCGACAAGTTCGGTTCCTACTGGTTCCAGAACTTTGGCGCCATCATGCTCCTTGGAGATGTTGAACGTGCTGAGGATGTTGTAGAAGGCAAAGATTGGTCCCGGGAATGTCTCGGCAGCTTCTATATCAAGCCTAACTATCCCGGCCGCAGCAGCCATGTGTGCAATGCCGGTTTCCTTGTCACAGATGCCTCGCGTAACCGCGGTGTCGGTCGTCTCATGGGTGAGGCGTACCTTGACTGGGCACCTAAGTTGGGTTATACGTATAGCGTCTTCAACCTGGTGTACGAGACAAACGTTGCATCATGCCGTATCTGGGATGCGCTCGGCTTCAAGCGCATCGGTCGAGTCAAGGGTTGTGGAAACCTTCGCAGCTATCCCAATCAGCTGATTGATGCCATCATCTATGGGCGGGATTTGTCACCGCGCGAAAGCGAGGAACTCGTGAGTGAAGAGCGTTTCGACAAGATCAAGTTCTACCTCAAGTACGGCGAGTACCCGAACGGCGCTGACCGCGCCGAGAAAAGCAGGCTCCGCAGCGCAGCGACGCACTATAAGCTCCTCGACGGAGACAAGCTCATGCTCAAGGATAAGGAGGTTATATCGGATCCCGCCCGCCAGTTCGATATTGCTCGTCAAGTTCATGTTCAGCAGCACGGGGGGATCAACAAAACTACAGCTACTATTGCAGAGAAGTACCACTGGAGCCGTATCAAAGAAACAGTCAGCGATGTGATTCGCAGTTGCGTGGAGTGCAAAGAGCTAGGCAAGACACCTAACCCTGGCGGTGCGAGAAAGGCAGCCTCCTCGAATAATCATGCGGGAGGGAGGAGAGGTGGTGCAAACACAGGTGACCACCATGCGCAGCCGACGAGTCCTCCCCCTGCCCAAATGTTACCACTGCAAGAGCACAACATGATGCCTACAATTTCCCACCAGAGTCCAGATCACGATCATTCACCAAGTCCCTATGCTAACCCAGCCGATATCTCTCTCATTGCACCCCCTCACGCTCTTCAAGGCAGCACAATGGACCATACCCTTCACTCACACAGTCCCATGCTCCAAGACCCTCCCACTGGCCACCACCCACATGATCACAACGTATACCAACCGATCGACCCGCAGATCATCAACGAAGCTTCTCATGACCTTGGCCCCTTTGATCAATATCATTCGCCCGCTGACTTCCAAGCATTGCTCAATGCGACTGAAGATGTTGGTCCCGACGTTGTGGACAGAGATTTGGAGATGTTGATAGAACATCAAGACGATGACAATGTAATGGACGGGACGGATGGTATGGATGGTATGGATGGCATAGGCGTGGGTGTCGGCGCTGGCACAGACAATCACGGGCTTGTCCATAAGGAAAGGGGTCTGTATGATGTTGGCTTTGAAGGGCCAGGGGGTTAGTCAGAGTTGACTTTGTGATGCTGTCCTATTAATTTGAAGCATGAAGCGGGCGCTCCTGGATATAATTACATTTCTCTACCTTATCAATGAGCATAAGCTTGGCGTTTCCCACATGAATATTAAGATTCGGTTTGTGTCTATTGATCTCGACTCTTCACTGTGCCCTTGATACGTCCACAGACACCATCATCGAAACCATCACTGCTCTCCTTTTGCTAAGAATCTTGGCAAGTATACCTACAGAAAACATATTCTCAGCGGCTTTTTACCATAAGAATGAACAAATGGGTAAGTAACAAGGCGTCTCGCGTGTCCATCCCAAGTCAGATCAGGTTAGATCCCATCACGGTGGTGCCTGCTCAACCAATCAGCTTCTCCCCTGTGGCTTAGTTGGCTAAAGCGTCCGACTGTTATTAACTGACAATCGGGAGATCGGAAGTTCGAGCCTTCCCGGGGGAGTTTCGTTTGAAACCTGGTATTATTTTTGTCCTTTGTGGATATCTTTTTGTTAGTTTATGCCAGGAGTGGAGTTTGGGTAGAAATTATGGTTTGCAACTCAAGCTATTTCAGATGGCCTAGATATGGGAGGACAGGAGACAATGTGAGTCCTGTGTAATTGACACTCTGATTTATATGTTTCAGTACCATACTTGGAAGTTGTCAGTTACGAGCTGATACGACGTTGGTTGTCGACTTAGAAGTAATAACCTGATTGGTCGAGACAAGACCCTTAACTCCTATACAAAATGGCCCGTGCACGACTGGGGCAAGGCATGATGAGAAAGCGAGAAAGTGGAAGGCTGCCACATTTTTTTGGAAGCTTCCACTCATCACAAGCTCCTCCCACTCTGAACCCGCCAACGTGTTTCCCTCCCCCCACCAACCGACGACCGAGCGAAACTTAAGCCTGTACATACTTTATACACGGTTGTAATCTCTGCCATTCAGATTCGGGTCAATCAATCACCGTCAAGATGTCCTTCGGAGGCCAAACGCCGACGATTATCGTCCTCAAGGAAGGTCCGTTTTACCCCACCGCCAGCCCGCTTCACCCCTCGAATTCTTAGGGGGCATCTCCAAAAGAAGACGATATCAACACGACGCAACGACAACAAATATGATCGCAATGGATAACTGACTTTGACGCTCCCCTACAGGAACCGATACTTCCCAGGGCAAGGGACAGATCATCTCCAACATCAATGCCTGTCTCGCCGTCCAGGCTACAATCAAGTCCACTCTAGGTCCTTACGGCGGTGACCTTTTGATGGTTGATGAGAATGGCCGACAAACTATCACCAACGACGGCGCCACCGTGATGAAGGTTCGAAGCGCTCGACAAAATACCCATTCACTTCCAGTTCTTTGCTAACTGGTCAAAGCTTCTCGACATCGTCCACCCCGCCGCAAGAATTCTCGTCGATATTGCTCGATCGCAAGATGCCGAAGTCGGTGATGGAACCACATCAGTCGTTGTCCTTGCCGGTGAGATCCTGAAGGAGGTCAAGGAACACGTTGAGCAGGGTGTTAGCTCTCAGATTATCATTAAGGGTCTGAGGAGGGCATCTCAGATGGCTGTCAACAAGATCAAGGAAGTTGCTGTTAGTACAAACGAGGGCAACCGCCGTGATACTCTTATCAAGCTGGCTTCTACTGCCATGACAAGCAAGCTGATCAAGAGAAATACTACGTTCTTCACCAAGAGTACGCAAATACCCACCATGCATATGCCTTGGTCATCGAGCTAACTGATTTTAGTGGTTGTCGATGCCGTCTTGTCCCTTGACCAGGACGACCTCAACGAGAAGCTCATCGGCATCAAGAAGATCCCTGGTGGTTCCCTGACCGACTCCCTCTTTGTTAACGGTGTCGCCTTTAAGAAGACCTTTTCCTATGCCGGTTTCGAACAACAACCAAAATCTTTCGAGCAACCCAAGATCGTGTGCTTGAACGTCGAGCTGGAGCTCAAGGCCGAGAAGGACAACGCCGAGGTCCGTGTTGAGCAGGTTTCCGAGTACCAGGCAATCGTCGATGCGGAGTGGCAGATTATCTACAAGAAGCTTGAGGCAGTCTACAAGACTGGTGCTAAGGTTGTGCTCAGCAAGCTGCCCATCGGTGACCTCGCCACACAATTTTTCGCTGATCGAGATGTCTTCTGTGCTGGTCGTGTGGCTGGTGATGATATGGAGCGTGTTGTCCAGGCCACTGGTGCTGTTGTTCAATCGACATGTTCCGATATTCTGCCCGAGCATCTGGGTACCTGCGGCAAGTTCGAGGAGCGCCAGATCGGTGGTGAGCGTTTCAACTTTTTCGAGGACTGTC